GTCCAGCTTTCATGAGCTACAAGTAGATTAGTCTGACATGAAGTTCGCTTTCGGAATCCATGTTCCGCAACATTGAGGTCGAATCTATTTAGGTGGTTCTCCACTGAATCCCTTATCACTTTTACAAACAACTTGACTACTACGCTTGTCAAACTGACCGGTCACTATTTCGCGGGCAGAGCGCTGTAACCGCCCTTACAATTCGGAGAGATGATTGTCTCATTCCATTCCGAAGGTAGCAAGCATCTGTTAAGCGATATTGAAAACGCGCTTGTGAGAGGACCACTCAGATCAGTGGCCAATTCATGCAACAGCTTCAGATGAATTGACTTAGGGCCGGAAGCTTTAGAGGGATTAATGCCTTGCGGTAGCTCGAAGACCTGAGTCTCCGTTATGTTAAATTCAACTAAGCAAGAATCCTCTGGAATTCTTGAAACTAATTCAACCTGTGGTAAAGAGGTATCCCGAGCAAAGACCCCAGTATACTGATCACTAAATATACAAGCCTTGTCATAGTCAGTTTACACAGGGGTCCCGATTGCTCGCAATAACGATGGTATAGACAGTTTTACCCGCTGCGTTTTTTAATCGAAGCAAAATACTTCTTATGATTACCTACGACCGAGTCCGCCAAACCCTGCTAGTATTGGAGACGAACAGCCCTGAGATGTTGCTCACATTTATCTCTAATCTCTCGATAACTACCATAGGTACTGGCTGAAGGGCTTCTCGGTAGGTTTGCCAGGATCTAAACCGTTTTTTGAGTAGGTACTTGCCTGTGGGATCCATCCATGGAGGCTGTGCCTGTAACCCACTATTCCTCATGAGCGAAATATAAGGAATGGAAACCTACGTAAGGAATGCCTTAAATTTATTCCAGGTTAACTGGACAGAGTCGACCACCAAAATCTCAGAGTTCAGCACTGAAACCTTAGCTCGCTTTGCACTAAAGTCCACCCGCCAAATATTCGGAAGTAATTCAACGGCGGTCTGTTTGTGCCTTGAAAGAGCACATCGAAAGGCTATGCATGTGTGATCGCTGGACTCTAGAGGTGCACCTTATGAAACGTCAGTCAAGAAGCTGAGGGACTTAGCGAAAACTAGATCTAAAGTAGATGGCATTTGGTTGTCCATATAACTAGTGGGGAAGTCCACAAACTGGTGCAAAGGCACTTGCAGAGTGAGCTCAAGAAAGTCTACACCGAATGTTCCTGACGCCGAATTACAAGAAAGAGCGGCCCAACAGACTTTCAGGAGGCTGCAATCCCCTAGAACTAAACATTTATTCACGAATTGAGTGCAAATAAAGTCAGTTGTCCCCCTGGAAGAATTTCAGGACTGCTGTATATCACTACAACTAAATTAGGTAGAGGAAGTGCACAAAACAGCCGATATGGCTTCAACAGTCTGATCCGACGACTAGAATGTGCAGGTCATCAACACATCTAATTTACAGCTCACATACAGTACAACGCCTCCGCTTTGGCGACCAACGGAGAGATCAGTTCTAAGCAGCGCGTAGCTAGGTAAATATACCTCACCGACCGTGATATCCGGAGACAAGCACGTTTCAGTGAAAGCAAGTATGTCGGGATGAGATTTGTCTACAAGTAGACCCAACTCGTGCACCTTGTTCCTTAGGCTACGTACGTTGCTAAGTACTACCTCAAGGAAGGCGGCACGACCATCATTGGGTCGTGCGCCATCAGGATGGGTTCTTATAGGGGGTAAAATAACTTCCGGCTGACCAACTGAAAAATCACCAGACGGAGGCCTTGCTCATTAGCCGCCCGTCTAGTTTTGAGGTCTTTGATAGCCTCCTTCAACTTCAACCTATCTTCCAGTGGGAGGTCTGGCTGAACGCTGACACCACTACCCCTAATTTTGAATGCAAACTCCAGTCATGATATGCCTTTCTCCGAGATAGAAAGGACCACTCGAAGTAGTCTGGGTCTCATTTGCCTTACCGATAGCGACGTTCTCTAATCTGGTCAGCTTCCTGATAGTGACACCAGGGAAGCCAGGTGAAAGCAGCTTGTTGAGGTACAGTTTGAGCCACTTGATGTCATCCAAGATGCCTTCCCTTGCGAGAGCAGACGCAGATTCAGTAACTTTACGGAATATAACTCTACTGTCCGTGAAACAGTCACCACGGCAAGGAGTGTTTACCCCACCCGCATTATATACGACACTTATATCAGTTGTTTTCCCCACTGGTCGTGGGACTGTCCCTGTCTCTGCAAACGACATCGAAGCAACGGTAGCGTAGGTTTTCCGCTCTATTGCCGGCGTCTTACAATTTTCTGGGTCATCAACCCCATTTGAAGTTCTACGAGCAGATCTAGTCAGCTTCTTCTTTTGGGTTCCGGGAGAAAGGGCCGTTGACCTTGTATCACACTGAGCAGTTAGCAACACTTCGTCAGAACGGGCTGGTTCAGTGACAGCTGAGAAGATTATCATCTTCGGTATGTTCTCCTGTGCACAACCGTCCGATAACTTTACGACTGCCGAAGAAGGTATCTCTCTCGATGACGTGGTAAATAATTCTCTGGGTTTAGCAGAGGGCATCTGGTATTTCCGAACCCTATTTTTCTTCACTCTGACCGGCTCATGTGGAGAGTCAGCAATGCTAAGTGGAGCGTCCGGTAGGATGTGCGACTTCTTGATCGATAGATGGGATGGATCGTCAGCAATGTTGCTATCTACTGCAGTGTCTTCAATCACAATATTCATGGATTACAAAATCAAATCCATTTTCGCATTGAGCGAGGCAATACAGGTGAGCTTGGCTATCGCTTTCTCAACACCTGCCAACCTTGAAGGCAGCGCTGAAATTTTAGCACCAGTGATAGCCCGGCGCGTGTATCTCTAACTGCAGCATTAAGCACAGCTGAAAAGGAAGTGAAAGCTGGATGATAGCATTTTGTACTGGTCTGCTTCTATGCCGGTACAGCTTTCGTGATACCAGCGGCAGCAGACGTCACACTGCATGCCACCATATAAATCTGTTACTGGCTCTGAACAGTTAGACTGTTCTCAAGCAGCACTGGATTCATCAAACGAAGACCCAAGGGGTCCATCCGCCTCGGTATTTAACGAGACAGATTTGTTCATATGGAAAACAGAACAGATTCATAACACGTATATAATAGTAAGACAACTGCGATAAGATTGGCAAAAATAGGGTGAAAAACGGGAATAAAACGGGGAACAACCAGAAAAATTAATAGTAAGCGCCAAAGACGCTTTGGTCAGTACAAGTTTAATCGATCCAAGATATCTTGGATCAGAGGAAATTCGACAATAGTCAAATTTCGTTTCAAGTGTTTATTCAAACAGTGTTTTCCACCTAATTTTAGCTACAAAGCTAGACCAGTATGGCACGCAAAAAATCGAGCTACGGCGTAGTACTCACAGGTAAAAAAGCTGATTATTACCTTGTTCCCATTAGTTATTTGGCATATGTGGCCAGAGAGTGAACCAAATCATTCGCGACGGATTAAAGCCATCATCTGATAACTAGTTGGTTTCGTTGACAGCCCGTATTACCGATGCAAATATTTCGGATCCCTAGCGAACTGGTTCCCAATCCAGAAGACCATAACCACCACCAAATCTTCATTTCAATCCCTGATTATTGGGGTTATTGACATTTAAAGTGGTCCTGCTTATGTGGTTAAATCGGAACGAACTAGAGGAAGGTTCTGTGGTTCTAGTCACTACCAGTGGGTAGTAAAACGCTTTTGCTGATCAGCTTCATACCAAAACGTTCTCCAATGGCCTACTCAAAAACCAAAGCCATCCCGGTGGCTGGTTCCTTGTCAATAAGATTCAAGCTTCACTGGTCAAAGATTCGGATGAAATGATGGACACGGAAACAGCATATAAATGAGCTTTAATGGTCGAACTGTCTTATATATACGTATGCGTCTGCATGAATTCATTGCTCAATATAACCTCTTCGTTGAACGATTCACCAAAGTATAAGCGAATTAATTCAAAACTACTAAACGCTTTGTGGTTTCTCATGCCATGCCGTTGCGTCATCTGCGGCTGTTCTGGAAGCGTCTGCAACCGACCTTGCTTTCTCCACTAAATGGGTGACGGTGTTTGATGCAACTAAATTCCTTGTCACATGAGTTCCGTATTTTATAATCCCCTGACTAACAAAATCAAATATGACGGAATCACTGCAAACAGCACGAGGGGACCAATGTGCTGGGCTACATCATTCATGAATTACTAGATTATGAAGAATGATTTAAATAACTACTGGCTAAGCTGCAGACGTTTGAAAGAATCACGAATATCAATAGTTTTGAACGCAAATTTATGGTTCATGTCAAGGATGAATATTGCCCGGACTCTCTAAGTGAATTGTGATCTTCCTGCTACATATCGAGTCGTAATCCGTATTAGAACTTACTGTTGTGTGTTGTAGCAATCAATGTTAGGATTTCTGACGTATAGTTCGCTCAGTAATGCTGACGGAAGTAATACCAGCATAGCTAAAATGCACACTGGCAGCCTATTAATGCGCCTTGTTAGGATCTTTCGTGATTATATTATAGAGTTTTAACCAGTTACAACCACGCTAGACGTTCCACCGTCAGAAACAGACGTATCTTGGATCGACTTGTTAACATCGACTTGGAGCACAAGTCAGTGACCAGGAATGGGTCACCTAACTAAATTTTAAGTTTTGTTTACTGTTATTCTTGTGACTCGTTGAAGTGACTCAAAACGAGACTGCTTAATTGGTACCAACGGTACCAGCAGTAGTGCAGCAGGGTGCGCAGATGCTTCACTATCCTGATATAACCGCTAATCGCACCCGGGCTAGGGATACTGCTAGACAGCTCACACTTAGACAGATTCGAGTCAGAGCTCTTGGAATTCAAAAGCAAATATCTTATATCAATCGACCATCGGCCGTCAGACTGGTCAGCTCATTGCCACGAATATGCAATGGCCATTAACCATCTACAACAAATGCTTACGTGCTCCTTTGAACGTTTCATATGGCGGAATTGTATCGTCGGCAGCTGAAATAGAAATATAGCGAAAGATTAGTGGATTCGATTGTTTTGGATTTGAGCTACTATAACGCCATGATACACTTAGAATTAAATGAATTTCGTGTCTCATAGTCTACCATTCACGAATAGCGACGAAATATTTGGCGAATATTTATTGATGCTACTTAATTGAATTAAGTAGGTGAAAATAAACACGTTTTGCGTCCAACCGTTAAAAATAGAACGAATAGAATATAATGAATGAAAAATGGATAAAATTCATACCATCTTTACGGTGTGGCCGGGATGTGTCTACTTATGGTCATGGAGGCACCGGAAATTACCAAATACTGCGCGCCCTGAGAAAACCCCGAGGAATTCTAACGGTAGTCCGGAGATCCAATGTACTAGGCACCAAGTGCGACGTCTGCGTACCGCAACTTGCACAACGCTTCACGCGATGAGGCGCAGACGGGACAATTGGACAATCGATGCATTCCACTTATTGTTTGAGGAAAGAACGTTTCGCGGAAACCTGATGTCTGTGGGCTCTGTACTGACCGATGTTTAGGCGTAGCACTGAAGTTACCGTTACGTACAGGGTCTACTCTGGTAAAAATAATAATGGATATCGCGTTGCCGGATGAACGTACTCGTGGTGTACTACTGCTGCTATTTCATCCTAGCTATGTTCCAATTATAGTACACAGACTGACATACATGTGCGAAATAAGTTTTCGATGTACCCGCATTTGTGTTAAAGTTAATGTTAAAACACCGTTACGGTAGACGGAAAACTAACTTCCAAAGAAACGCTGTAGGAAAAGCGTATCGCTTTGTACTAGACCTTTCACATTAGGAATAATAACGGAGTACATGACCTAACCACCGTTAGCGATTTAACTTCAACAGACACTGAAGTGAGGCCCCGGAGAGTTTCTTGCAAAAAAACCACTGGCGGGCATCAGCATTGATGACCCTCTGTTCCCACCAGATGCGCACAATACTGCGTGGAACCCGGTGACCAAAAATGGCCAACCGTTTGATGTCTCCCGTACGAACTGGTCAAGTCTCAGGTGCATACTGTAACACCAGCCTTATCGTAGTTGTTCCCAGAATTATAGCTTTGTCACACACGGAAATGTAACTTCTACGAACGCAATTTGAATCTACTTTTAAGAGGGTATTGCCACCAGGTGATCTTCCACATTTTTATCCCAACACAGGAACACAACCACATCACATTTACCGAGAAAGCTGTCCTGCAAAAGCTTACGTCTCTGTTCAACCACTGCTCCCTGGTGTCGATATTACTTGCGCAGGAGCACTGGGAGCAGCGTCAGGACAACTGGCAGAACCGTTCCCTCAGTTCTTTTAATGGCATGGCTTTATCTTGTACTGTCCAAAGTCATAGAGTCCATCTTTACCGATGCATTGGTGTGCTATCCGGAACACTGTAACATCACTGCTCTCGAGCAACATGGCTTTCGTCGACAGCGACCGTGCACAAAATTTTACTGATAGCCCGGAGTAGCTTGACCGAGCCAGTTGACGCAGGAGAGCACATCCATGTGGTGTACTATGATTTCTCGAAGGCATTAGACCGCCTAGATCAACGGATTCTTCTCTCTAAGCTGCACAGTTATGGCCTCGGTGACCGCCTTTCTACCTGGATAGCCAAGTTGCTCCTACAACGGCAGCTGGTGATTGGAGTATGAAACTCGATTATTTTTTTTACCACAGTAGACCCTGTACGTAACGGTAACTTCAGTGCTACGCCTAAACGTCGGTCAGTACAGAGCTCACAGACATCATTTTTCCGCGAAACATTCTTTCCTCAAACGCTAAGTAGAGTGTATCGATTGTTCAATTGTCCCGTCTGCGCCTCATCGCGTGAAGCGTTGTGCAAGTTGCGGTAAGCAGACGTCGCACTTGGTGCCTAGTACATTGTGTGAGATCCGACTGAATCTCCGGACTACCGTTAGAATTCCTCGGGGTTTCCTCAGGGCGCGCAATGTGCGGTAATTTACGGTGTGTCCATGACAATAAATAGACAGATTCCGATCACAGTGTAGCGTCGGGATGCATAAATTTCAGCTATAAGATTTCCCGAAATCAGTTTTTATTTTGCATCTCAGGCATCTCTCTAATTGGTTGTTTTATTATTGCAATGAATTTAATAAGAACTATCAAGCACAGGGGCTGCAGACATTTGGATCTACGATGGACTACCTGAGTGCAAGGAAAAATGAATTTATGCGGGTCTAGAAGCGTTGCTTTACAAGCCCCGTAGGATAGTTGGTGGGGATATCGACGTTACAATAATGATACCGATGTAGGTAAAATATTTAGTACTTTAAATATGAAAATAAGGACTTATCGTTTGCTCTACCGTAGTCTTGCAATCCGCTTAGATTCATAGTACTTGCAGTTAACATCAAATAATTCCACGCTAAACTCCAGGTGTATGATAGAGATGTATTGCTAAGGGACAAAGTGTAAGTGTATCATCCAACCGTCTTTTAACTACTGTTAGTGTCGGTGCAGACGCGACCGAATCTGGGAGAGCATTCTACGGGTGACAGACAAGAATGGAGAGGAAGTTTCTGCGGAACTCCACGCGGCTATACTGTACAACGAGTTTCAGTGAGTGATCCTTCAGGTTTGTATTGCCGCTGAGTTGCAGTAAACGGAGGCACACATGATACGGGTCTCGCAGAATCAATTATCCCATCTTCAGGTCTCCTCGTGGACTGAAATAGCTTCTGCTGAATACCCCAATCGTCGCAGCCTCTTCTGGTAGGAAAAATTGCGCATTCGACTTACGTTCTACGATACTCGACGTTGTGGCAGCTCCAGTGGATTAAGGTCGTGTTTCAGCCATTGATGCCAGTCTTAAATTGTGTATTCGATTTGGGGGAGAACATACGAACCCAGCAGTTATCGAAAAATAGAGCTGTCTATTTGTTCGAAAGCCAGTCCCAATACCAGACGTGTTGGATTTCCAGTCTTTGAGACCTTTTCGGATTGCGTGGAGCAACTCAAGTCATCTTGAACCAGGACACCCACGTCAAGTTCGACCATTGATTGTCACAGTAAATTCGTTCCGAGCCGGTATGAGTAGCTGCTCTGATGTCGGATGGAAAGTACCTTGCCTTTACTGACGTTGAAATTTAGTGAGTTCCGGGTTGACCATTGATGCACCGTACCTAGGTCACTCTGAAGCACCTGTTGGTCGGCGTTCGCCTGGATCGTGCGCTAGATCTTGATATCTTCAGCACACATTAGGAAGTTTGAAGCGATCCCTTGTGCAAGGCCATTAATAAGCGCCAAAAATAAACGTGGACCTAGAACTGAGCCTTGCGACACACTACACTCGATTTGTATGGGGTCCGATAAAGAGCTCCGAATTCTGACCACTAATTGCCGTTGAAGTAGAAAGTTGGCAATCCAGCTTAAAAGTGGATTGCCGATCCCGTAATGCTGGAGCTTGGAGAGTAGTATCTGATGGTCTAGAAGATCGCAAGCCTTGGAAAAATCCAGGTAGATCACATCAACGTCTACTCCAGCGTCAGCTGCTTCGGTCCAACTACTGCTTGCGCTTTTTATATGCATTGTACATGACTGCTGTCGATGGAAGAACTGCTGCTCAGGCCTGATGATGTTAAAGTTTTCCAGATAGCACACCAGTGAATCGGCAGCTATGGGTTCCATGAGCTTGGAGAGTATAGGAAGAAGAAATGCTGGGCGGTATTTGAAGGGATCAGTTCTGCTTCCATCTTTGTGAATCGGGGTTATTATTCCAAGCTTCCCCATAGCAGGAACTTAATTCTGATCTAAGCAGCGCTAGAACAACTGAGCTAACGGTCCTCCCAGTTGGCTTGCTGCTGCTTCCAGTGCCGCTAGACGAATGGTGTTGACACCCGGCTAGATATGTTTGCGTAGAAACGTCAGCTTTTGCAATACAGCCCCTGGGGTAACTGTGATGTGGGTTAGTCCTGGCGAGGAGACGACGAGGTTTGAAAGATCGCTTAGTGGAAAGACCCTTAGAAAAGTGGGGGCATATTGCGTCCGCAGCACGTTGGCTGTTTCCACTACCATTCTTGTTGGGCCATCAGCCGTCCTGAGTGGAGAAAACCTTTGCCTCAACTTTCTTAGGTTATTGACATGCTTGCACAGCAGTGGTTAGCACTGAAGGCTTTTGCGATGTTGTGCTGATAGGCGGCTTTGTCTTCTCTTAACAGTTGAGCGCAGCGGTTACGTTTGGCTACGTAGTTGTCCCAAGTTTCTTGTGCTGGAGCTTCTCTGTACACTCGCCCTGCTGCGTTGCGTACTGTCATCCATTTTCGAGTTCTGTTCCTAACGTAAAAAACTGATTTACACTTATAGCAAACTTTTATCTATGAAGCCTCTGTAATCAGCTGACTGAAATTTTTTGACGAACTCGAGCCAGGCCTCTTCCGGAGTTCTTCTACGAGGAACGACCAAGTTGTGGCGCTGACGAGCTGGGCTAATGGACCGTAGCTTGTGATGGTTCGCACAGTCTCATGGTTCTCATTCAGATATTCTGCATAGGAGAAGAAGTTGAAACTGATCATGGCGTGATCACTGCGACCGAACGTGCAGTGTAAAACTAACACATCAAACATATGCTCCTCGTTGGTAAGTACAAGGTCCAGCACAGATGGCCTGTGTCCTGTTCTGAACCGAGTGGAAAAAGTGCTGTTATTGTAAAGAGAAGTAGTTACTAGATCTTGTAAATCGGCTTTGAATTGTTTTCCGATCGTGGCGGGAGTTTCTAAACAATGTACGTTGAAATTACCCATGGTAAGAATGTGGGTGTACTTTTGTTGTAAATTGCATCTTAAAGCGGTCGCTAAGTGGTAGTCGGTTTCGGGTGTTAAGGGCGCGGTACACCAAGACAATAAGTCAAGCGTCCCTTCATTTTAATTTCAGGCAGCATCAAAGAGAGTCGGTGAACGGCGAGTCTGAATCCTTCAAGGCTTCACACTGTAAGTCGCTTCGGT